TGGCCCTTCCTTGGGGACTGCTGCTGCAGTGATTCTGGTGCTTTGTGTTGAACTGCCACTGCATTGCAGGCTGATGTCACTAGGCCCTATGTATCTAGTATTTTATGAGTTGAAAAACCAACCTGCAATTTATAAATACTGCTTAATATTCTGTCAAATCCTTCACTTATGATGTTTACTTTAAAGCTTTTATGCATTCTAGAGTATGGTTACTTTTCTCTTCTCTGACAATTTGCAAAGTTGTGAGACATAGCATGTGTCTAATTTCTTTGTTTGGCAAGGCTCAGGAGCATCAGCCTCCGTAACTGTCCTGGTTTTGTTAGACCTGTTTCCTGGCTTTAAGAACTGTGATGGAAGTCAGAGGTGAGGAATTTGTCTATGGATGACAAATGGGATGGGAAGAGAGTAGAGGGGAGGGTGACAAAGAGTTTATTTCCATGTCTTGCAAAGCTCAGGATGACACTTTGCTATGTCTGTTTGCTTTTGTGAAAAACACCTTTGTAATGAAACTGTTGAGGCAGTTACCCACAGGGGAAATTTGCATTAGAAACAGGAAGGAACATGGTATTTACAAACCATCCTGCAGGACAGCACTGGCAATTTTAAAAGCATTAGGTCCACATGGCTGGTGCTGGCCCTCCTGCAGGTGTATAATTAAATTAGCTATGAGATAAAGTGGTTCTTTGCATGGCCAGCAGCTGCTGGCACAGCATCCTGGCATGCCTGGCACTCACCTTCGCTGTGTGAGGCATTGGCAATATGTTCATGGCAAAGGCTGAGAGTCAAAAGAGGTGGTGGGTGGATATTTGGTGTGTCCAAATTCCAGCTCTCATCTGTTTTGCCTCATCTCTGTGAATGTGCTTTCTATGCCCTTTTAGTCCAGTGACAGAATAAATTTGTAGGAAAGCCACAAAGAGAAAGTTTGAGGATTATAGTCTTTCCTTTTTTACAATCTCATGCTTAATCTAAGGGGAAAACCCCCAAATATATTTTTATTAAATTCATCTTCACAGAGCTGGAGATAACTGAAATTTATGTAGTGTGTAACTTGGTGTAGAGAAAAAAAGGCATTTCCTTAGGAAATGGAAGAAAAAAAAAACCTTTCAAAACAACTGGATGGATTCTTACACTGAATGACTTATTATCAAAATGCATCCAGCTTTATTGAATGAATGTAATTGTTTGTTAAACTTGTTTAAAACCGTAATGGTTAATATTTTAATAATAAAGTAAAAGAACCTCTAAATAGATGGATTTCTTTATTTCCTTTTACTATGTAAAATTCATAAATGATCTGTGTGCTAACACAAGATTAGGTTTTAAAATAAAAGAGGTATGAAATTTTGTATAGCTACTGATACTTGAAAAAGTCAGGGAAATCCAAAACTCTTGTATTTATCACCAATGTTGTTGCCAAAATGAAGTGCCAACCCTTTAAATGTAGTAGTTCTAACCATACTAACCTTGACTGCTGGAATGTTGCCAGCTCTTCGTCATCCTGCAGAAATATATTATACTTGAACTGAGAAAACATGCAATTGTCCCTCCCCCTCTTCATTCCCACAAACTGGAGCAGTATTATGTTAGCCTGAGCTGTACTGAGCCGAATCCAATCTGGAATTAAGAATGCTCCAGGGCATTTTTAATAAACTGTCATTCATTTGAACTCTAACCTCCTTTAATTTGCAGAATCTGGTAGCGCAGATGTATTCTTCAGCCACATTCATTTTTTTCTTTTCTTATCTTGGTGTGAAACACTGCTGATAGCACTTAAAAATGTGAAGCTGCAGAACAAGTAGAAAGTATTCACTGAAAATAGACTCAAAACTAAGAAACAATTACTGTAGTTTAGTTTGCTGGGTTTCTGCCATTCTGAAATGTAAACTTAATTCTAGTGCAGATTTTAATAAAATCCTCAAAGTGCCGAGGTCAGTTAAGCTCTTTCTGAAAGTATGAAAAAAAAAAGGCTTTTATTACAAAATGCAAAGGACAAAATGAGGCCATTGTCTTGCAAAAGGGAAGAAAACTCAGCTAGTAACATATTCAGGGCATAGAATACTCCTGAGCTAAGTGCAGTCACTGAGGTTCTTGCCATGAACTCTTTCAAAACTTGTATTTCTGGGAATTCAAAACATGTAGGGTTTGTGGTAGGAGCATTTATACTGAGGGATAGGGCTGGGGAAAGGGAGCAGCTTCCAGGTGGGAACTGCCCCCAGTGCCTCTGCCCCTGCCAGGTGGTGCTGCTGGGCTGGGGCAGGGATTGCCCAAAACCAAAATTTCTATCTATAATATTGCCTTCAGTGGTTAATTTTCCATTGTAGCACATCTGCTACAGCTATATAATTAGCATGGTGAGAGGATTGTTTGTGCAACTTCAACATTCACACGTTTACATTTGATAGGAATGGATTTTTTAAAAAAATCTGTTTCTTGTGTGCATGCCTGCCAGTTGAATTTTGCTGTAGGTGTTGGTAGGACAGTTAACTAGGAAAACGTGCAGCCATGAACTTGGGTCATCTTCGAAAAATGAAGGAAGAACTAGCTGGCAAATACTGTGTTGAAAGTGTAAATGCAAATAAAACTTTCAAGTCAACACGTGTTAATGATTTGTGGTTTGAAAAAGTTTTCATATTTAAGTTTTGAAAGTTTTTTTCCTTTCTCTTTTAAACTTTGATCTCTTTTGTCTGGCAATGTAAGAGTATTTTACTAATAGACATTAACAAATCCACAGCTTTGTTTTCCACAAGTCTTTAATTCTCTTAAATGTTTTGAAATGTAAATTATGTGATATATGTGATATGTACTTGGGTGAGGATTCAGTCAATCATCAGGTTGGGTACCAAATTGAGAACATGGAAAGGGAGCACAATGATACTAAAAATACAGAAGTTCAAGAATTCTACTTTTTTACATTGTCATCTGCCCAACGTATCTACAGTGGGAGTGTCTGGGTGTTTAAAGATACTATCTCAAAGCTGGAGCCTGTGTGAATTAATGACTTTCTTGTTCTGATTCTTACTACAGTTTTCATTAAGCTGTGTTGTCTGGAATTAAGTAATAGGGTGGATGCTCAGCAGAAACTAGATGCAGTTTTTAAAAAGTACAAGGAAAAGCCTAACAACCCAGAAAACAGTTAGAAATATCATATGTTTTAGCAGTTGAGTCTTGTTGTTGGAGACAATATAGGTTTATGTTCTTACACTAAAGCAGAAGATAAAGTACCTGGTGTTATATTAGAAGTTGAATCTGTTTTTAAAGAAATATGACCTCTTTCCTTCTGGCCTGTTAATTCTTTTTTTTTCATGGGATTTAAGTGTAAATCCAGCTTTTTTATTTCTTTATTTCCCTCAAGTATTTGTTCTCTTTGCTGCTTCTAAGAACATTCACTAGACAGTCATCATCTTTCTTCCTGCTTTCTTTGGTGGAATCTTGCATCTGCAGAGACTCCTGAGTTGCCCTCCTTGCTGGTTCCTTGATGCCACCATTACACTGCTTTTACTTTCTGAGTGGAAGGTTGTACATCAGTAGTTTCAATATTGTTGGTAATTCTGATCTGCATTCATGAAATGCAGCTTCTTATGCACTGCAGGGTATCAGACATGTTCTAGTATTTCATTGATCTTACTAGAGTGTTTGTATAGGTGGTGTGGAAGGAGTAAGTAATCAGTGTATCAGTGGCAAATGGGCCGTGAGTCCTCGTAATTCATGACAGCTCTACTATTTATTTGTATTATTTATTGAACTTTTTATATAAAGCCCATCTGTATTGGAATTGAAACAAAAATGGCTTATCAGGACTGATTGCCTGCTAGGAGGCTTTAGAGAGCAACAGTTAAGGATGAGCTTGGGAGAAGTAGTCACCCTGATGACACGAACACTGTGGAATTTGGTCAGACTTTTCAATTCCCAGCAAAACTGAACTCCTTTTAGTGCTTTGCATAACATGGATGAATGGAATATATCCTCTTTCCCATTTTATTTAATTTCATTTAGAGGTTCTTCCTGAGTGTTTTCAAGTTTATAAAGTAATATTTGGATGAAGACGGTGAGAAAGAACATAAAGGAAGTAGGACATCTATTATTCAAATCATTATATATCACACAAAAAAAATCAATTTCACTTTATGTAATCTGTATCATTTAAAGAGGGAGGAATCCCACTGGCGTGCTGGCTACTGGAAAATGCTTAACCCCACAAATAAAGATTCTGCTGCTGGACAGGTGTCATTGTATTGTCTCCATTCTTTAGTGTGCTCTTTAAACTTCTCCATGCTAAGGAAAGAAGGGGATCACCACAACTTTCCTACACTTCGTGCTTCAGAACTTCTTACAGTTATCATGAGGAAAATAACTTGATTGTTATTAGAGCAGTTATAGACCTTTGAAATTCAGGATGATAGAATAATTTGATTAGAAGGGACCACTGGAGGAAATTCACTATAAACCCCTACTCAACGCAGAAATAACTTGAAAGTTGGATCACATTCTTCAGGCTTCATTCAATCAAAATCTTAAAATACTCGAGGACTGGAGAGTTTACAGTTTCCCTGGGTGACCTGTTTTGCAAAGGTGTGCATTCTTCATGAAAAATGTTGGGTTTTCATTAACAATTTTATATTAAAACATGCATCTATTGCTGCATTTAAAATTTCTGAAATGACTTCTATGATGAGTTACCACCACCCTGAATTTAAATAATAAAAATGGTGCTGGACATATTTATAAATTGTATCTGCATATGGCAATGGCCCAGGTTAAATGGGTTTCTGGTGTTAGCTCTATTAGTATGAATGTTGTTTATTGCTAATGGATTCATGGAAACTTTGAGAGATTTCTTTGCTTTGAAACACCACTGTTAGTTTTTAAAACAGTTATGATATGAAAAGATTTGAACAGCCATTTACAGAAAATAATTCCTTTAGTGTGTTTTTGCTTCCCTGTATGAATTTAATATTTTCTTGTGGTAAAGAATATGGAGATGAAAATGTCTTCTCTCTCAGGTAGAAGAGCTGATGAATGCATTGGAGAAGACTAGACAAGAATTAGACTCTACCAAAGCCCGTCTTGCCTCAACACAGCAGTCTTTGGCGGAAAAAGAAGCACATCTGGCTAACCTGAGAATAGAGCGAAGGAAGCAACTTGAAGAAATTCTAGAAATGAAGTAAGTACCTCAACTTCTTTGAGAAACTGAAAATCTAAAGCCCCATCTCTCAGTGGGAATGTAATGCTGGAATCTCTGCCAGTGTCACATGCAAGGGAAGGGAGTTATTAACTTTCTATTGATGGTGCAAAGCTTGTTGCTTTGAATTGGTTAAAAACACCCCCAAACTAACAAAGAATTTTTGCATACACTTTACATACACTTTACACTGTATGTGTTCAGAATAAAAAAAGAAGAGACATATAATTTAAATCTGACTTCTTCCATGCAAAGAAAAGTATCTATAATTATGGGGCATTAAAACTCTGATATGATCTTTAAAATTGGCAAAAAAGAGTGAACCTGCTATGACTTGGCTAGGCTGATAATTATGTAGTTAACATTCAACAAAAAAAATCACAGTTGTCATTTTGAAACAGTCTTTTTGAGGGAGGAAGCCATATATAACTTCAGGTCAATTGTTACGGTTAGCCTTGATTTTAAAGGAAGGGAAATAATCCGAAAAAATGGTTTTTGTAATGTTATTGTAAATAAGGCTAAGTGGAAATGGAGTCACATACTTAGCAGGGTTTTATAAAAGTGGATTTTAAGAATATCTGCTGGGTATTACAGGTGCAGAAATACTGTAATGGAAGGAAAAATGTTTCCAGGGATACCTGAAGTATTTCTGGTTTTGACTTTAATGAGGTCTACATCCATACAGAAAAATGGAATTACATATGAATTAGAATACTGTGGGACAATTATATTTTATAATAGATACATTTTAAATGTTTTTTAAAAATATTAAGTTATATGTACATATTAATTGTCCCATCATAACTCAGATGCTCAGTGCCAGTTATCAATTTTCTGTATAGTGCTTTGGTCTGTTTCCTCAAGTGCCTTTTTTTTGGTCTTAATAATAAGCTTTTTAAAAGTAATAATTAACAATTGCTGAAAAAATAGAGGAAAAATCTCTAATTCTGGTAATGTGACTTTTAAAATTTGATACACAAAACCTCACAGAACAATCTGGAAAATGAGGTTGGCAAAAACTGGTGAAGTAGAAATCATTTTGACAAAAGCGCTTCTGTTTTATGAATGAAGGGCTGGGTGAGTGTTTTTAGGGGTGAAAGACGCAGCAGCGAAGACCCTAGTGTCTTTAAGGTAACTTATTAATTGGAAGCATTGATAATTTCTATTTATTGTTTAAAAAAAATCCAATATCAAGTGATTACAGTTTTTGGCTATGAGTTTCTAGTTAAATAGGCATGAAGTATTTGTTTGAGAACCTTCATGGTACTTTCCTATGCTTATATTATGTTCAAGTTCCAGCCATAACTCTTTATTCTAGGCCCATCTGGCTGTCATTGTCAAGATCCATCTTAATTTACTGGCCGCAATCAGTTCTCAGTTTTAGAAAACTTCTTCAATTGTCATTTCTTGTTCCCATATAAATTTGGTTATTTATGGAAATTTAGAATAAAAATGGAGAGCAGCCTAGTCTTGTTCATATCTGGTTGGTCTTTATGAGCTGGAAACAAGATAAGTACCCATTAAATGAAAGGTAGTTTGATAAAATCAACTCTTTCTTGATGCTATTTTGTGAAAAAATAAGGTTTATTTTAAAGAATCTGAAAGTATAAGTTTGAAGGAGGAGTTGCATTTGCATGTTAATTTCTGAAATTTTTTTCTGAAATGTCTATTAAAATATTACTATATTAGTTCTGGAGGAAATAGTTTTGCTATGGTCATATTATTTTAGCAGTGCACACATAACTCATTCTGACATTAATGGAAGTTATGCATACATGTTAACAGTAAAATGCAGCATATGTTCAAATCCATCATTTTGTCTAATTGTCTTGTTGCTTTGTGCTCTGTGTCTGAGCATAAAGCAAAAATCAATGCACTTTTTAGTTTTTAGGAAGTGATACTTCAAAAAAATCTCTATTGCATAGTGTGACAAAATCCATGGTAATGTTTTTTTAAGATATGTCTTTATCATCCATAGAAATATTTCAGTTGGCCTGCACTTTAAATATGGTAGTTAGATATATATCCTAAGATGGCTTTTTCCAGACGTTGTTTTTGTTTTCTGAGAATCCACAAGTAGGAGCACAACCTCCTGAGAGCTTCACAAGGCTTGCCTAGAAAAGCTTATTCATTTTGTAACATGAAGAGCTTGAGGGTAGGAGATGTTTCAGCATTCTGATGTGGTGGAGGTTTGTCAGATGTTTCAGAAATGCCATATTTGTGGAGCATACTTTCATGACCACAGTGCTTTCATACAGATCTCCTTTCCTATGTGGTGGTTCCTTCCAAAACTCATAAACCTGCTTGTAACAAAATTAGGTAGCTGTATAGATAGATAAATGAGTATTTACATAATGTTAAAATTGCCTTATATATATATGTATGTGAAATAAATGCCTGCCCTCATGGAAAGTGGGTTTTGCTCCATGGGACAGATCATCTTTTTAGAAATGGTCAAAATTATTTTCCCTTTGGAAGATATAAAGTTTGACCTGGAGAGCCAAAAGTCATAAAAGAAAGTCTAATGACATGTGGTGGAAAAGATATAAAAATGATTGTCACTCTCTTTGTAAGTTCACATTTTAAACTACTTTGTCTTCAACTGCAACCTCTGAAGGTAAAAAGAAAACACAAAACTCCAACACCCAAGCTCCTGCATTTGTTATCAAAATTGTTTTCTTGGTTGAAAATCTTGAAGTTCACTTTCTGCGAGATTTATTTATTGTTTAAGTACCAGGTTAGAAAATATTTCATTGTGGTTTTGCATTAATTTGATGAGCTTTTAGTGACTTAGTTACATGTGGCAAACACTGCACTTAGTGAGTGGTCATCTGATTAATCCCCCAAAAGACAGAACTTCATGTTTTGACCTGAAGATCTGACAAGTCTTAATTTTTGAGATTTAGTTGTTAATTACTGAGTGTTTCCTCTGTTAACTCAGCATACTCACTGCTCTGAAGGTTTCAGAATTCTTGCCAAGAGTTTGAAAGGCAATTTCCTTGCCTTAAATAGAGTTCATGCCATCACCTGTGGGTATTGCTAAATCAGTTTTGTTGGAATTGACTTTGCCCTGAAATTCACTACAAATTTCCAGAAGAAAATATATTTTCCCTTATGTGAAATAAATCGGATGGTTAGTAATGAAGCATTAAAGAGCTCCTAAGAAAAACCCCGCTACTAGTTATTTTATGCAGTAACAAAAACAGAACATTACTGTGCTGTCCAAAAAATATACTTTAAATTAGATTTTGCAGTAAACTTTCTTACAGTGACAGTATAAAATTAAATATCCCTTCCTTTAAGTACAGTCACCATTTTTTAAAATGAAAATAATAAAAGAATCTTGCTTAACTTTGTTTTTTTCAGTAGATTTATTCATTTAACAACACCTGTGTATAGCCAGGGATGAAAAAGTTGTGGGAAGAAGGGGATAAAATGCTTTTTCTTTCCACCACACATTCAGCTGCTGGGCCAGAGAAGAAGAGGGCACTTGGATTTGCCACTAGATGCCAGTCTTGGGTGCAGGACCATGGTTCGGGTAGGAGCAGCTCCACGGGGTGAGGAGGAAGCTTGTCCTGCTGTGCTTTGTTCCCTTGTCTGTCACCAGGTCTGACTGGTGCCCTCCTGCCTTGAGGAGCAAGAGCTTCAGGCATGGAAAAGCACACAAATGGCTTCAAGTGGACTTTACAGGATATTGCAGGGATGAAGAGGGTCTTTGAATGGATTCTGGAAGTCAGGGGTCACAGCCTAAGGGGAAGACTGTGTAAAATGTAAAACTAAAAAGTCAGAATTTGTACAGAAGTCAAAATGCTTTATGAAGTACTAGTGGCAGAAGTATAAGAAAGTTTACCATTCATCTGGTTTTCTGCAGACATAGCCCTTTTTTCCATCTATAAATTTTACTGGAGTAGAAGTTGGGGATTTCACATCTGTGTAGCAGCTCAGCAGGAGTTTCAGCTCTGACAAGAGCCGTTGGATGTCCAGAGGATCTATCTAGATGTGTTTCCAGCGCCTGGACAAATCAGCTCATGTCCCTGCCTTACATTATCCAATTACTATTTCCATCCATCACCATCTGAAACTGACACCTGGGGAGGGAACTCAACATGTTTGCCTTTATTTATGTCCTAATTGCTCAACCCTAAGAGGTTCTGACACCCACAGGAGAGTGGTTTCTTCCTCATTGCTGTGGGTACAGCAATAGTGAAAAGGGCTTCTGAAACCTCTCTGTGAATAGTAAATCCAGTGCATCTGGAATGTTTCAGAGTAATTATGTATGCAATTCACCTGTTCAGGGCAAGCACAGGCCAGAGGCATGACACTCATTGACAGGAAAATCCCTGATGAAATTGCAGGGACTCTACTTGCATGTAGTCATGAAGTTGATTTCCTTTTTTTTGGTCCTTCCATACAACATGAAGGAGAATGAAAGGAATATAGAAGGTAGGAGAAATTGGCAAAGTGATTTAGGGTTGGAACTGCTCTTTGAAAAGCGTGGAACTCGCTTCTTTAAACCACTTTAAAGGATGGCTTACCTACAGACCTGTCTGCTTTCTGTGTTACAGCCAGGCACAATGTTCCCCTGCACCCATGTTTTCCAAAAGAAAATCAGGAAGGCAGATAATCAGTTCTCTTCCCTACACTGGAACCTGAGGTGTTTCACTAAAAGTTGTGGGCAGAGTTGCTTAGTTTATGCTCCTTTTGAAATGCTGGTATATTCTAAAAATAGCCACTACATACCTTGGGAGTAGTTCTAGGCTGAATGAGCAGTAGTGGATACATGATATTAAATGAGTCTCTTTGAAGTTTAAGCAAACACAACAAGGGTCAGATTTCATATATTTTAATAAAGTATTATTTCGAAAGAAGATTTTTTTCTACTTTTCCAGCTGTATTTCAGCTTATAGTTGGAGAAGGATATCTATGATAATTTCTTTAACGTGAATTCTTTAACATGACTCACTCAATAGGTTAGATAACAG